TGTTCTTATTCTTGTTGTTGTTGCTTCTTCTTGTTGAATAATATTGGCTTTTCTTCTTCTTATTGTTGCTACATTTCGTTGAATACTTAATTTTCTTGTTGTTATTGTTGTTCTTTACAAAATACAATGGGTTGTTCTTATTGTTGATAGTGTTTATAAAACTAAAACATCAAACAGTTTCATCACTCTACAAGTAACATATCTAAATTTATTCAAACTGCAAATGAAATTGTAAAATTACACAGTTTAATCACTATTCAAAACAAATAGATAACTTATTATAAAGTGCAAATCAAACTACCAAATTATACAGTTTTGTTACTATTAACAACAAATAGATATAACTTCATACTAAACTTCATATAAAATTGCAAAATTATACAGTTTTGTAACTATTAACAACAAATAGATATAACTTCATATTAAACTGCATATAAAATTGCAAAATTATACAGTTTTGTCTCTACATTACTCATGCCCTGCTGTTGCTTTCATTTTTTCAGAAATAGTTGTTAGAAGATATTGGAAGAAACAAACCTATATGCCCAAAAAAACCAATCAGGGATTTAAGTATCTCCCCTTCTGACAGTCTTTCACCTGTATCCACTAAAATGCCACCAACATCTCCCCCTCCACAAAAAACCCAATCACCACAACCAAAAACAATCAAAAAAATCCACAAAACAACCACACTACCTACAAGAAGAAGCCCAAGAACTACACCACAGACCACACCCACATAACAAACACCAACCACACCCCCAACCACAAAAAAAAACAAACAAAAGAAAGCCAACAAAAAAACAAGAAGCTCCTCCAACCAAAAAAAAAAAGCTCCAAGAAAGCCAATCAACTCCCAAAACAAAAACCAAGGCATTAAAAAGGAAAAATTGAGCAGTCCCTGCAAAGAGAGTCTAACAGTTTAATTATCGTTCCAACATCGGAATGGTAATCAAACTATTGAAGGGGGTCAAATTTGCAACAGCCCAACAGACAAAGCTACAAAAAAAACCCTTTTTGGCCCATTATAAATGCTCTCTCCTCAACACAACTGAAGGCCTCTTGGTGCAGATGCTACAATTCCATTGTAGCAGAAATGACAACACTCTACAACCAAAAAACAAAAAAGAGAGCATTTATACTTGGCAACAAGGAAATGAAACTCAGAAATAGTGATATGAGGCTCGTTTTTGGTATCGACTATGGAGAAAACAACATCACCATCAAATCCTATGTAAGACAAAAGGATTTTGAGCTCGCATTTTACAAACGAAGATGCAAATCAGTAAAGAAATTGGATGGCAAGTCATTGACCAAAATGTTTCAACAAACAAAAAAAGAAAAATCAACCAATGATCGTCAAGATCTTGCAAGGGTCATCACCCTTGTGCCTGAAACTTCTCATGCCTACAACAGGCCATACACTCAGTTGGAGTTTCCTCAACTATGTTGACAATCTCAACAACATCAAGAAATACAATTGGGTTAAGGCAATAAAAGACACACTCATGAATTCAATGGCAAATGCAAACAACAACCCAAGGCATGTCACTGGATGCGTCATGTTACTCTTGGTAAACACGCTACTCAACTACTTCACACAAAAATATCAAACATCCAACTATTTCAAACTATCTAACATATTTCAATTTTTTTTATAGTACTGGTACTGTGAGCACAATAAACTCCTCCAACCATCCAACAAAGAAGGCTTCCCAAGGTTTATGAAGTGGAACCTTGGCAAAATGTACTCCAAGTGGAAACACATCAACCTTGCTGACTTTGAAAAGGTATTCAAACACTTCTATACTCTCATAGCACAAATCTATTCAACATTCCATTCACAGTCATTATAGTAACAATCATGCTATGAAACTGTAAAAGTTTGTAGTTTCAAACAACATATTTTCAACACTTAACTCACATTGCTCACAATACAAATCATGTTATAAAACTGTAAAAGTTTGTAGTTTCAAAGCACACACCTATTTAACACTCATATCACCCATGCTATGAAACTACAAAAGTTTGTTGTTTCAACGCACAAATCTATTCAACAATCCTTTCACATTCATTACATTAACAATCATGTTATGAAACTATAAAAGTTTGCAGTTTCAAACAACATATTTTCAACACTTAACTCACATTACTCACAGTACAAATCATGTAATGAAACTGACCAATTTTACAGTATTATTGATATATGCCACATTGTTCCAATGCAGGTTGACCAAAGTGCTTTAACCCCAACTGAACAAAAAATACAGTTATTGCATATCAATCAAAGCACATCAACAGATTCTTCAGCAAAGAAACATGACCACAAAAAGGACAATAAGCGGGAAAAAAAAAACAAAAGTAAAAAAAAAAAAAAACCTTTTAGACATTGATGAGGATGACTTTCTCGAAGAAGAATACCAATTAGAATAAGAAGAATACCAATTAGAATCAGAACAAGAACAACAACAAAAAAGAAATAAAAGAAAGCAAGAACCACAAGAAGAAGCAGAAAGTGATGAACAAGAAGAATAGGGTGATGAAGAAAAAAAAAGAGACTAAAGAAGAAAAAGAAGAAGGTGATAAACAAGAAGACACTAATGAAAAAGAAAGCCAACAACAAGAAGAAGAACAAACAAACCAACAACAAGAAGTCAATGAACAAGAACTGACAGAACAACAACAACAACATGAAAAAAAAGAACAAACAAAACAACAAGAAAAAAGGACAGAATAACAAGAAGAATTCCAAGAGAAATCTGACATATTTCATGCACAAGGTAAACTCTTGTCTAATACTGAACCAAACTGTAAAATTTAATTAAACTAACCAAAACAAAATCCAACATTTTTATATGTAATGACCAAGCACAAACATCAACCAAAGAGGACGACATGGACAAACTCATAGCAGCCATGAGAGCACAAATGTAAGAAATGGAACAAAAATTCATGGCTGAATTGCGTAGAAAGGAAGACCAGTTGAAGGAAATCTCTGCCAAAAAAAATTGAAATCCCTAACAAAGATCAATGGTCAAGAGAATCAAACAAAAGTCAAGAAAACAAGTACATAAGCCAAATTTTGAATACCAACTAATGACAAAAGCCAAAGAAGAAACAAGGAACAAGACAGAAGCTGCTGCTGATGTACCCAAACCAACAGAGGGTACCGATGAAAAAAAAGAGAAGAAGAATGAAAAGAAAAAATAAGAAATCGAAACTGTGGGGTCCGAATAATAATATACTAAGGAAAACTAAATTTATTTGAAGGAAAATCAGGACAAAGACGATTCGCCTCTGTCCAAAGAGGTCTTGAAGCCAAATATTTAAATCGGCCGTGCAATCGGCCATACAAGGAGCCAAGTAAGAACTGGCATACAACTGAAAGGCCGAATAAGCAATCATGCGCTGGATTAAAAGTGGGCCCGACACCAGATATTAGTATAAATAAAGGAACATCAACCAAAGAAAGGTATGTGAGAATATATTAAATAACTTGAGATAGAAGTAAACTTGAGAGCATACTAACTTGTCCGTCAGAGTGCTAATTCTGGCACCCCCAATCGGAGTGTTCATCTTTTTCAGGTGGCAATCAGAGGATCAAGAACGTCTTACTAGATCTTAGAGTATTTCCAAACCACTTCTCCACAATTGGCGTCGTCTGTGGGAATACTCAAGCACATTCATGGTGAGCGTAATAGATGACCTTCCGGTAGTTGCTAACGACATTACGCCGAGAGATGACATCACTCCAAGAAACATGCTTGGACCGAAGAATATCACCGTATGACAGGCCTTGAACTTCAACTCAGTAGCCCACACCCTCGACATCAGTGCATGAGACAATACAGACAATCATGGATCAAGCAAAGCAAAATGAATAGCGTCTGGAAAACATGATGGCTGAGAATGAGCACTTGCGCCAGGAGTTAGCCCTGGAGGTGAAAAAATCCCAATAGGCCGCATGCCACAACCGGGGTCGACCTTTAGGAAAAAATGATGATCGACGACGTCAACTTCGGAAATACGATAATGACAGTGATTCTGACTCACCATCCCCGAAACCCAGAAATAAGGGACGAGTCGATATATCCAGCTCATCCGAAGGAAGTCCATATGTACGGCACAAACGAGGGAGAAGAAATGATGATTCGGATGAAGAAGATAAGCATAACCCTTTTGTGTGACGAATTGCAAGGGCAATGCTACCCAAGAAGTTCAAAGCACCGTCGTTCACCCTGTATGACGGAAAATCGAACCCCACTAATCATAGTCGTCATTATAAACAGGCGATGACACTGCATGCTTATAATGAAGCCCTCATGTGTCGAATGTTTCCAAGTAGTCTGGGACCACTGGCCATCAGATGGTACTATAAACTGGAGCCGGCATCGATTAAAAGCTTCCATCAACTCCAAAATTCCTTCAAAGCAAGATTCATCACCAATGAAATCTAGCCAAAGCAAGCCGATTCTCTCTGGGCAATGCAAATTAAACCAGAAGAAACCCTTCATGAATATTCGACACGCTATTGGGAATGCTTTAACCTGGTAGACGATGCCTGCAATGACTCCATCGCCAACACCATGTTTAAGATGAGATTACATCCTGATAGTCCCCTCCGCAGTTCGTTGACTAGACGGCCCCCTAAAACAGTCTGGGCATTAATGAAGAAAGTCAAAGAATATTGCAAAATGGAAGACGATGCCCTACGGGTCAAAGCCAAACAGAAAGCCGTTAAGACGGCTCCGCTTAAAATCATTCAGCCAATAAGCGTCATGCCATCAAGGAGCCCCGAACCACGGAATTGGACAAAACAAGACAAAAGGCATGACTCGCGCCGATCAAATGATCAATGTTCACACCAATCGAATGAACAATATCAAGTGGATAATAGGTGCACAAGACGCTCGAACAAAAAGTACACGAAGTTAGCAGAGTTGGTCAACAAGATTTTGTCGAAAGTTTAACACTTTTCGTTCTTTAAATGGCCGTCAAAAATGATTGGACCTCCTGATACTAGGAGAAGGGACAAGCGGTGTGAATACCACAAGGATCATGGTCATGACACCGACAGTTGTTATGCACTGAAGGACCACCTGGAGAAACTAGTACAAGACGGTCGACTGGCGCAATACATCCGAAAGAATAATCCATCGAACACGGTAGCACTACAACCAGATTCACCTCCACTTAGTATAATTCACATGATATACAGCCTGCCGTCGTCAGCCGAGATACAAACAATTCAATTACAACCTAGCCTCCATAGGCCGATCACACCAGCAAAATGGCCCCATGAAACAGGGAGGATCAATTTCGACGACACCAACTTAGTTGGAGTAACTCTCCCACACGCCGATCCCCTCGTCATTGAGCTACGTGTCAACAGATTCACCATTGAACGTGCTCTCATTGATCAGGGAAGCACTTCAGAAATAATGTATTACAAGACGTTCGTTAAACTCAGCTTCACGGACTCAGATTTATTGCTGGTCGATTACCCATTATTCGGCTTCAACACTAACACTGAGTATCCATCGGACAAGATCACATTACTAGTTCGGGAAGGCACCAGATCAATAGATGTAGAATTTCTAGTCGTCAAACTTCCGTCACCATACAATCTCATCATGGGAAGAACTTAGTTGCATACAATGCAAGCTATTCTGAGCACCTACCATCAATTACTTCGTTTTCCAACCGAGTGTGGCATTAAACAAATTCGGGGTTCTCAGAAATCAGCACAAACATGCTACCTTATTGCTGCTGTAAAGTGACCAAAGGAAATGAAAGTGAATTCAATTGAAGTACCAGATCGGGAGAGCCTTGAGGACATTGGGAAGATCCCCAGCAAAAAGGTAACTGAAGATTTGGATCGAATCGAAATTAATGGGAGTCTTGACAAGTTCTTCATGATCGGCACTTCCCTGAATGAAGTTTATAGGCACGAGCTTGTATTCTTCTTACTTGGCAACCTCGACGTGTTTGTGTGGATGCCACATGAGATGTCGGGGGTGGATCCATCTGTGGCCTAGCACTGCTTAAACGTTGATCTAAAATGTAAACCAATCATTCATAAAAGTCGCTGGTCAGCCGCGAAGCATGCTTCTGCTGTTATTGAAGAAATTGACCGATTGCTTGATGTCGGGGCAATTCGCGAAGTTATCTACCCTACATGGTTGTCCAATACGATGGTTGTAAAGAAGAAGAATGGATCTTGGCGTGTTTGTGTGGATTTCACGGATTTAAACAAAGCCTGTCCCAAGGATTATTTTTTCCTCCCAGAATAGACCAACTCGTAGATGCAACGGCGCATCATCAATGCATGAGCTTCTTGGACGCCTACAGAGGCTATCCCCAAATTTTCATGCGCTTGGAGAACCAAGAAAAGATTGCATTCCTCACCCCGAGAGGAACCTATTGCTACAAGGTCATGCCTTTCGGGCTGAAGAATGCGGGGGCAACTTACCAGAGACTAGTTACTGCCATGTTCAAGGAACAGCTCGGCCACACCATGGAAGTATACATTGACGACATGGTGGTCAAATCCAAGGACAAGCACACCCATCTAGCCGACTTGGCAGAGACATTCGGCATTCTTTGAAAGTACAAAATGAAACTGAACGCCTCAAAGTGTGCATTCGGCATCAGTTCTGACAAATTCCTTGGCTATATTGTTAACCACCATGGAATAGAGTCCAACTTGAGGAAAATCACGGCAATTCTAGAACTCGGCTCTCCTCGATCGGTCAAAGAGGTTCAGAAGCTGCTCAATAGGTTAATCAGTCGTTCCATAGATTGTTGCCAACAATTCTTTCATACACTTCGGCAAGGTAAAGCCTTTGAATGGACCCCTGAGTACCAGACCACTTTGGACGGTTTGAAAACTTACCTCCGATCAATACTACTCTTGGCAATCTCCTCAGCAAGTGATCCGCTCATTCTGTACCTGGCGGTATCTGACCGAGCGATCAGCTCCATACTTTTAAGGGAAGAACTCGGGGAGCAACGACTAGTTTTTTATGTAAGCAAAACAATGGCTGAAGCCGAAATAGGCTATCTACCAATGGAAAATTTCATCATTGCTCTCGTTATGGCTGCAAGAAAACTAATACATTACTTTCAGGGGCATACCATAGGGGTACTAATGAACTATCTCCTCCGGTCAACGCTCCGTAGCGCAGAAGTATCAGGGCGCATTTCGAAGTAGGCTTTGAAACTCAGTCAGTATGATATCCAGTTTCTGTCTAGAACTTCCATCAATGGGCAAGTTATCGCCGATTTTGTAGCCGAATTCACAGAATGCCTCACCAACTTCAGCCGATCAAATGCCACCTAAACCCAACTAGAGGATATATGTTGGAGACATTTGGCAGATGTACTGTGATGGGTCATCCAACCAACGTGGCAGTGGAGCAGGCATAGTAATCATGACCCCCGAAGGGGAAATAATCAAGCAGGCAGTCAAACTAGGCTTCGATGCATCAAACAATGAAGCCGAATACAAAGTATGGTTAACCAACCTACGGAATGCACTTCACCTTGGTGCACGGTGACTGCTTGTTTTCTGTGACTCAAAGTTGGTAATCAACCAGTTGAAAGGGGAATATGCAGCTAAAAATGACCGCATGGCAACCTACATGAAAACGGCAAATTTCTTGCTCACAAAATTTGACCACCATAAATTGAATCAAATAACCCAAGATCAGAACACGCATGTAGATGCCCTGGCTTGCCTAGCCTCTATCATCAATTCAGAAATCAAACAGACAATCGAAGTAGGATTCGTCCCTGAGCCGAGCATTGCCTCTTCTGAACTAGTTCAAATTAACATCATTGAATCAGTTCCAAGTTGGATGGACCCTATTGCTGTATTCCTTTCCTCAGAACAACTCTCAATGGATAAGAAAGAAGCCCACAAACTGCGAAATAAAGCCCTGCGATACTACTTGGATCTGCATAGAAAGCTCTACAAAAAATCCCTTTCTGGACCGTACTTAGAATGCGTTCATCTAGACAAAGTTGAGGAACTCTTGGCCAACCATGCGAACCATGCGAACAGATGTCGAGAGCTATATCAAGAAATGCGAACAATGCCAGAAGTTTTTCCCTTTAACTCATCTGTCTGCCAAGGAGTTAAGCTCTATCACTAGTCCTTGGCCGTTTACTCAATAGGGACTTGATATCGTCAGACCATTACCGCGGGCTCCAGAGAACAAGTGATTCCTGATTGTCACAACAGATTATTTTACAAAATGGATCAAAGCAGAGGCATTAACACGTATTCGAGATGTCGATGTTAAGCATTTTGTATGGAAAAACATCATTACACCATTTAGCATACCAAGAGCACTTGTCTCAGATAACGGTATCTAATTTGATTATGGCGTCTACCGAGAATTATGCAACGCATATGGTATCAGGCCATACTTTTCCTCGCCAGCCTATCCACAAAGAAATGGTCAAGCAGAGTCCTTTAATAAAATCATCCTGGATGACATCAAGAAAAAATTAGAAAAAGCTAAAGGTAGATGGGTCGAAGAGTTGCCCAGTGTGTTGTGGGCTCATCGCACTACTCCAAGGCGATCCACTGGGGAAACGCCATTTGCTTTGTGCTTTGGAAGCCAGGCAATTCTCTCCCTAGAAATCAGCCTACCCATGCTGAAATCCAAAGTTTTTGACATGGGCCGTAATGACATGATGTTGGCCTTAGACTTGACTTTGATTGAAAAACGCCAAGATCATGCCTTAGCATGCATGGCGCAGTATCAACAACAGCTCACTAAATCATATAATCAGCACGTACAATTGCAATATTATACACCTGGAGAACTAGTCCTCGAGAAGGTATTACCTGCTACCAAGAATCTGGCAGACAAAAAATTAGGCCCCAACTGGGACAGCCCTTATCAGGTTGATTCAATCACCGGAATAGGGACGTATTGGCTCAAAGACATGGCTGGGAGAAGTTTGCCGCACCCCTAGAATTCGACACAATTGCAAAAAAAATTATCATTAAGCCAACCTGTACGGCATGCTAGCTTGCTTTGAATTTTTGCTGATGTATGAATTTTTACAGATATGTATGTATTTCTTTTAAATTCCGCAATGCAATTCCTTTTCTTATCCCAGTCTTGTTAATCATGGTTTTATAACAGACAAAAGACTCCGAATTCAAAGCCCCATCCGTGGATGCCACGTTTGGGCTGAATAAGCCTCCGAATTCGGAGCGCCCTTCGTAGATGTCACAATCGACCAACACTAAAAGACTTCGAATCGAAGCCCCATCCATGGTTACCACGTTTGGGCCAAATAAGCCTCTGAATTTGAAGCGCCCGTCATGGATATCACGATTGGTCACCACTAAGAGACTCCGAATTCAGAGCACCTTTTGTGGATATCACCATTGGTCAACACTAAGAGACTCCGAATTCGAAGTCCTATCCGTGGATGCCACGTTTGGGCCGAATAAGCCTCCGAATTCGGAGCGCCTTTCGTGGATGTCACGATCGGCCAATACTTAAAGACTCCGAATCCAGAGCCCCATCCATGGATGCCATGTTTGTGTCGAATAAGCCTCCGAATTCGGAGCACCCTTCCTGGATGTTACAATCGGCCAACACTAAAAGACTTCGAATTCGGAGCCCCACCCGTGGTTACTATGTTTGGGCCGAATAAGCCTCCGAATTTGGAGCGCCCTTCGTGGGTATCACAATTGGCCAACACTAAGAGACTTCGAATTCAGAGCCCCATCCGTGGATGCCACGTTTGGGCCGAATAAGCCTCCGAATTTGGAGCGCCCTTCATGGATGTCACGATCGGCCAACACTAAGACTTTGAATCTGGAGCCCCATCCATGGATGCCACGTTTGGGTCGAATAAGCCTCCGAATTCAGAGCGCCCTTCATGGATGTCACGATCGGCCAACACTAAAAGACTCTAAATTCGGAGCTCTATCTGTGGTTGCCACGTTTGGGCCAAATAAGCCTCCAAATTCGGAGTGCACTTCGTGGATGTCACAATTGGCCAACACTAAGACTCTGAATTTGGAGCCCTATCCGTGAATGCCACGTTTGGGCCGAATAAGCCTCCGTGGATGTCATGGCCGAGCCAAATAATCTTCCAAATTTGGAGCACCTTTCGTTTATAACCACAAATGGCCGAATAATCCTCTGAATTCAGAAGGACCAAATTTGGCAATATAATGGTATGGATCAGTATACGATTACCACAAGCAAATACAAACATTAATCGAAACAATATAGCAAATGTTTATTTCATTAAATAAAGCATAAATACATGACTTTCGACATATAAATTTATTCAGCACCCTCTTCATCATCGGTCTTCTCGGCATCATAAGCTTCGAAGGGAAATTTGTAATTCTAATATAGAGGTGACACCGAATCAATACCCATGGCCTGCAGTGCCTTAGTCCTTTCATGCTTAAATCCATAATTTTCACACTGACAGACATCCTCAGCTAACTTTTCTTTCGTCTTATCAATACCAATTTTTCGGCCGTCAAAAAAGCCTTGATTGTAGGCCCTCGTTCTTATTGCTTCTCTTGCGAACATGCTCACCGTATCTCGGTCAGCAATGGCATGATCTAAAGCCGCTGGTTTACCCTTTCCGCCACAATCAG